CAAAATCATATTTTTACCACAAACATGGACTTCAGCTCCAGTCTACCTCCATTCCTTTAGGAATTACTCTTTAATTCTTGTTTTTTAATATATATTTTTAACAATTTCCTAGGTGGAGGCAGCAGCTTTCATGAAGTCTCTGAATAGAAAACCAGTAGATTTTAAAAAAGGAACCTGACTTTTTCACATAACACTTCAGAGAATCTTGTGCACAGTCTTGTACCACACTCCCTCCACACAGGAGGAAAAACTACACGGTACTGCTTTATTTTCAAAGATCAGGATCTGTTCCAATGGAATTCCACAAAGCATAATAGGCGAAGGTACGCTGTACTTCACAGTGGACTTAGACATAAAAAAAAATTCCTATGGCATCTGCTCAGCATAAAAATTAGGCCTTTACTGAAATGTTCTTACAGCTGAGCTGGATACACATATATATTGCATACTACGTATTATAGTCCAGCTCCTGCAAGGACTTGTATACACATTTATTATTACATATATAAAAGAAATCCCATGGTTTCAAAGGCATTTGAAAGGCAAGGTGAATCGAAACACATGGGTGGGTCTTTGCAGGACTAGGATGTATATGCTGCTGAACAGCACTGCCTGCTGAAAACTTTGTACCTGTTCTATACAATCAGCAGTTTATACGTTTCCCCCTCAGCTGACAAATCCTTGCAACAGAGGATTCGCTTCCAGCTAAGGAGATGGAGTTCAAGTACACTTTTCATACTGCATATACCTATGCTAAATGTAAATCCATATTAAAATGAGCTACTTAAGTAACAATTAATCAAACACAGCCTCACTGCGTATGACGAGAAACCGAACGAAGAGCAGCAGATTGGCTCAGCTCTATAAACATAGAAAAAGGAAGCCATAGAAATATCAGAAATATGCACACAACTCTATTTGTATGTATATATGTAAAATACTTTCTCCATGATTGGAGGAGCCACTGTTGGCCAAAGAAATTCGCTAAGTGCACAAGAGTAGATGCATTTCATAGAAAGTCATTCCATACCTAAGTTACAATAACTGACTCATGGGCTTCTGCTGGACAAGAATGACCAGGAGAAAAGTCAGTCATTAGTACTAACACTGGTTGCTAATTAACCCTCATGAACAATGCTGCACCAATGCTACTTCTGCTACTATTACAGAAACATTTAAAAGGCACGTGTAAAACTCTAAATATAATGTACATACAAAAGCTCATATTGCTCAGTACAGAGATCAGCCCAGCAGCCCTTGCTCTGGCCTTGGTATGCACCACTGGATTCCTTGAGGATGCATCAAGGCAGACATACTTTATACAGCTTCTCACACCAAATGCACTAGCAGAACTGATGGCCTACAAGCTCTGCCATAGATTTTAGGGATTATCTTTTAGCTGATGGGCTGTGCTTCAGCCCATAAATTTGCAAAGCTCCCAGGTTTTGTATCATGACCCGTGAGATATACACAAGTGCCCTCTGTCTGTAAGCAACTCTGGCACAGCCTTTAAAGATACCAGAAAGAGTTCAAGCAGTGCCAGTAACAGAATAGGTCCTAAAGCTTATTGGCATTACTATAATGTCAACACACCCTTTATTTTATACCACATAACAACTACTAGATGTCAGCAACAAAACCCCCAGAGGCCAAGAGCCAAGAGCAAAAGGAGTTTAATCTGTAGTTTGTCACTCATATTTGATGGGACATTCTCAGCTGGATAATGAGAACACAGTCCCTGCTGGGACTGCCTCCCCTCACACCTCTCCTCCAAAAGAGCTATCTCCTCTCACAATATGGAAGTTGGCAGGTGGTGACTTGTTGACTTGTGATTTTGGGGGGGGGGGAGCCATTTTATAAGAATATTTCTCCAAACTCCGAAGAACTGCAGCATTTAGCAGTGCTTTTGGAATAACCAAACCCTGTAGCAACTATCTCTATAGAGTTTAAAGAAAAAAGAACTGGCTTCTGGTAAAAGCATTTCTTCTATGGTTTCAGGCTACATGCCAACTATCCCAGAAAACTTCTTGGGCAACAATATATTGAATCTGAGCCTTTTACCAGTCACTGTTCCCACCTTGTTAAAGTTACAAACAACCAAAGAGTTGCTTATAATGGAAACATATGATCATTTTATGCACATTAGAGAGATAAAGCATACTCGATAGGAAAGCTCCAGCATACATCATATCCACATACCACACATACATTATGTAACGCTCGTCCCAAATACACCCCAATAAAGTGAGCTGGTTTGAGATCTTAACAATTCATCGACTTTGCCACATCAGAAACGAGAGCAGATGTCACTCTTCCCTGCCTCGCTGCGATCTTAGCTGCAGCACTCGGCAGAGTTACAGACTTGCTGAAGACGGCCAGTTTAGGCTTGACTGTAACTAACAAAGAGCAAGGCAAAGCCCCGGGCGGAGGGGAAGGCAAACACGGGCATGCCGCGATGTAAATAGAGGCAGCCCAGCACGGAGCCCTGCCCGTTCCTCGCTATTTACAATCACCTCTCGACTAGACAAATGCCGTGTTATCTGAGTATCTAACAGATTAAATCCACGGGCCGGACGGACCGTCCGAGGCTCGCTTATCGCAGGTCACACCGACTGGCATGTGTAAGGCGAGCACGGCTATTTCGGTGGCTCACGGACAGCGGCGCACACCCGGCGGAGCCGTGCTAGCCCGCTGCCGGCACAGCGAGCCCCGCGCAAACGCTGCCGCCCGCACGCTCCGGTGCGAGGCACGGCTCGGGCTGTTCCAAAGTCCCGAACTCGAGAGAGCTCTGCGGCGGCTCCTTCCTTACCTGCTGGGCAGCGCGGCGGCTCCGGCTTTGTGCGCCCCCGCGGGAGGCGGCGGTCCCGGCCCGCGGGCAGCGGCTGCCCTCGGCGCTGCGCAGGGAGAGCGGCTCCCGCCGCCCCGGCCCGGCCACCGCGGGGAACTTCGGCGGGCCGGCCGGGAGGGCGCTGCGGCCGCCGCTGGCGGCGCGGAGGGCCGGGCGCCCCGAGCTGCTGCTGCCGGCCGCGGGGTGCGGGAAGGAGGGAGGCAGGGCGGGAGGGAGGAGACTGGTGTTCCGCGGGGGCGAGCGGGGCCGGCGGGCGGGCGAGCTGCAGGCGGCGGGGCCGGGGCCGGGCTGGGGCTGGGGCTGGGGCGGCGCGGGGAGTCACGGCCCAGGAATGCCAGGAATGTGGGGCGGCCGCTGCGGCCGCGGGGCCCGGAGACGTCGGGGACGCGACTTGGGATTTCTTTTCTCTTTCTCCTTCCTTCTTTCTTTTTCTTTTTTTTTTTCTTTTTCAACTCTTACCCCCTCCCCAAGGTAGGCGGAGGAGGGTTGAAACCCACCCCGCGGAGGAGGGAAAAGGAGGGAGGAAGAGGAGGGCGCAGGCTGCTGCCAATCCGGGCGGTGCCGGCGGCGGCTCTCCCGAGGAGCGCGGAGCCGCCAGGTGCGGGTCCCGGCCCCTTCCCGGCCCTCCCGCCGTGGGGCTCCACGCCCGTGTCGGCCCGGCCCGCCCAGGAGCTCCGGGGGAGCACCCCCAGCCAGACTTTGGGACTGGGCGGGCGGGGAGCTGCGGCAGGCTCCGCACGCGTGGGCCTGGAAGCTCCTGAGATCCTCCTTCCAGCCCTCCCGTACGAAGGCGCTGTAACAACTTTTCTGCCCTTCCTTAACTCCCTGTCCATCTCCTGCAACCTTGCGCGACAGCGTCGTTTCTTTCCATTCCTCCCTGTGCTTGCTTCTGCTCTTTCCATCTCAGCCCTTTCAGTCTCCTGCTTACTGTGTGACCCTCACTTGAAGAAGTGTGGTTACCCCTGCTCTTTCAGCTGCACGGAGGGTAAAATACGCTTGATGGGAAAACGCTCATGATGCCACTGTCACGCGTCTGTGCTTTGCTGGAAAGCAAACAGGAGAAAACCTGAAGTTGGCCTAAAATGTGATGGTTTGTAATTACACTAAATGCCCAGGACTTGCCAGATGTAGGAAGGTCCATTTGATGCCTCGTGTAAATGACAAAAGGAGCGGGGAACACATCACGCTGTAGGAATACTGTCAGGAAGGTTCAGGCTGTCAACAGCGTTGAATATATTGCACCAAATCAAGTAGGCTTAAGAGCAACGTGAATATTAGAATTTATGTGTAGATGCTCTTGTGCATCTGCACGAGATGCGTTTGCAAAATTATTTTTGCCTGAAAAAATACGCTTATTTAAAATTATCCACTTCCCAAAAATAATCTACATTCTAGAAAGTGTGTGCAAATACCTCTGGTAGCAATAGGCATCTACAGAAATGTTAAAGGCAGGTATCTGTTTAAAACAACTGTGACACTTTGAGGCACTTAAGGACTCTTGCAAACAGGGAAGATTATAAAAAATAGTGATGAATGAGAATTGATACTATTTTGGAGTTGCTGTTACTGTTTGTTTCTTGTACACCTTACTGAAGGAGTAAGTGAGCAGATTCACTGGCGTCAGGATTACTCAGATTGTTAATGGTAAGAGGATCAGGAGCTGAGAGGGAGAAATAGCACAGATTCTTGATTTTGATAGATAAGTAATTGTATTTAAACACTATACATGGAATCACAAGTCTATGCCTTACCTCTGGCATAATAATATTATAATTACATTTTGCAAGCACTCCTTTTCATCTGAGACTCTCAAGCATTTTACAAGCACCACACCTTAATGAAGTAAGTAATTATCCCCATTTTACATATGGCTACACTGAGGCACTAAGAAGTGACACCATTTATGATTTAAACTTGAATTGTACTTGACCCTGTGTGGATACGAGAGCTTAGTGTAACAATCTGGAAGAAATATCAGGTTTCAGAATAAGATTATAAAATGGATCATCAAACCACTGTGCTCTAAACTGATACAGAAAAGGGATTACCTTACTGAGTAAAAAGTTTCAAAAGAGGGTAGTATATATCAAAACTAGGATTTTACTTCTTTGTTTGCTGTCCTGTCCTCTCCATGATGGGCCAGGTGCAAGGATGCTGTTCTTAACACAGTAAACACTGACTTTTGCATCTGTGCCTCAAGGTGGTGTTCTGGCTCCCTAAAGCCTTTTAGTCGGATTCCTGGTTTGCAGCTGGTCACTTTCACTTTCTCAGGTCTCTCAGCTTTTGAAATAAACTTATTTAGGGAGTTTAACTGCAAAAGAAACAATGTTGCATGAATCACTGACCCGCTGAAGGATGGGAAGATTTTGCGGGGGAGATTTGACATATTGGTTACCCGCAGGATCAGGTCCCCTAGAAAAAATAAAATTAACTAGAATAAATAAAATCATACTGCTTCTCAGCATGAGCAAAATCAGCTCAACAAACTCTGCAAAATAAAATGTATTACAAATTTACCCAACCAAGAGAAGCTCCCAAAACATAGAATTCTGATGATCATTACTTTTCAGGAGATTACTTAATGCAGTGATTGATATCTGTATTAGATTGTAGCAATAAGTGTTTTAAAACACCAAACTTCCCAGGCAGTTTACAGCCAGTTCCTGCAGAGGTTTCCATATGCAAATCTGCCTTGTTGGTGCTACTACAGTTTTCTAGGACCATTAAAACCTGCAAGACTTACGTATATCTTTGTTCCTCAAGACCAGTCAGGAGTACATGAATCTGAGATTAAAATTAACTGGTCTTATCTGCTAGTTGGGGAGTAATTTAATAAAAGACTAAAACTAGTGTAGTTGTTACTTAAACTGTTTCAAGAATTGGAGGTAAAAAATTATTTTTACAAATTACAAAGATCACAAGATACAATGTATTGATTTGGTTCCAGATGCCTGTGCTGGTTCAAATTTGTCCAACGAACTTTGATGGTTAATCTTGTACCAGTCATATGTGAGCTGCATTATGTACAGTCTTTCTATGCTGCTAGGGAATTTTACAGCAATTCTTTGTACCTGAAAACACAGCACTTCTAAATTGTATTTAGAGATTTTATTGACTTGTAATGATTTATAGATTCTATCTCAAGAATATTTCCTCTGCTCTGGTATAATTAAATTTTTACACTGGATCTTTGTACAGTATCACCAGGATTATTGTATTAAGTGCTCTACAAAATAGAATAAATATCTAAATAACATGCAAATAGAAACATCTCAGCAAATGGGAAATAATTCACTGACATAGGACTGTACCTCAATTACCTTAGCTACCAGTTTTTTGGCTGGTGTTGGGCATGTAGCAGCACATCCCTGTGTCTGTTTTCTTGTTTGAAAATTGAGATAATGATAGTTATCTTAAGAAGGTACTTTTTTTGATTTCCAGATGAAAGCAATGTACAGGAGAGAGGCATTATTTATTTTTTTTTACCAAATTTTGGATTTGGTAGGCCTGAATGTTTTCTCAAACCTTCATGAAAATAATATAGCCCAATACCATTCAGCTTGACCAAATGGTTAACTATCAGCAGAGGAAAACTGACTTTATCTATGTCAAAATATAGGAGACATTTATTATGAACAGTGCATGGAATTTTGAGGTGACTTAGCACCTTGATAGCAAAACCTCTATTAAACATATTTTGAGTGTGTTAAAGAATCTCGTTATAACATGGAAAAATCTCAGTCCTTGTTGGTCGGTGAAACCGTGTCATAACCTGTTTCATACAAAACTGTCTTTAAAATGTGCTTAAGCAACAGCTGGTGGTTTCTCCTGTGAACAGTAGATGATGTTTAATTAGCTTTACAGTCATCTACATTACAATCAAATCAAAGAATGCAGTTGCAACATATTCCTGATTTGTATTGTAAATGTCACCTTAACTGTGTTCCTAAAATCTCTGTCATGTGCTGCAGCTGGCTACACTGACCTGATTGTAATGTAAGGAGAAACTTAGTGCACTAGCAGAAATTCCCATTCCTAAAATCATATTAGTTTTTTATAAATTGATACGTCAAATGTTTGAAGCTCACCACAAAAAAAAAAAAAACCAAAAAAAAAAAGAAAACAAAGAAACCTCTCCAGTATTCAGTGCCCTCATTAATTGTTCCATTTAATAGTGCTTCTCAAAATCATCTCTTAGAAAAGGAATTTGTATTACACAACCTTGGAAAACAAACCTGTTGCCACCAAGCATGAACTAACATGTTATAATACTCTGTGGCTTATCACAACGAAGCCAGCACCCAGTCTTGTAGTCCAGAAAAAGTCTTGGTTGATTATCTGTGCAAATAAACTATGCTGTGTTGAATATTCTAGTTTCCTTAGGGTAGTATTCTGCCTGAGGACTTATTTAATACCTGTATCTCTTTTCAGGTCTCCAGTGATAGTGGTAAAACAAAAAACGTTTTAGTATTTGTGAATAAAGTAATGAACTTTTGATTCCATGGTTGCCAGTACTCCAAAGGGGTTTGGGACAATGAATGTAGCTTACTATGCAACTGTTACTGCTGTCCAGTGACAGAATGAATAACATTTTTACAGTTTTCATGGATTACCAATATGAATATTTTTGAATGTACCATTTAGCATGGTATTAGGTCTTCAAATTTCTGAAAACTCTTGGAAAAAAACCAAACAAAAACCAACAAACAAACAAACAAAAAACAAAAACAAAAAACACAACTCAACTCAAACAAAAAAGTTACTAGCTTTTAGCAGAACTTAGTTTTTCAGCTTGCCTTGAAGTCAGTATACACCACTAATTTGTAGATGCTTCAGTGGCTGCTCACTTCTGAAAATCTTCATGCATCTCAGCCTGGATTTATGTGCCTGACTGTGGGCACTGCATTGAAAGTACTTTGTCGTCACTCAGAGATAAATGATTTCTTGAGAAAGCAAAGAGCTAATGTCATAATCTAAAATGTGGGTTTGGGACAGTCACAAACCTGTGTAATTTGAATTGAACCATTAATATTTGTTTATCTCTGTAATATGGGTCTAAGACCATGCTTGGATATGAGAGCACTCCAAAATTTCAGATTTTAAAGTTTTCTGAAATGATTTTCTGATGTGTACTGTAAAAGAATAAAACCTCAGCTAGATGTGTCTCAGCTTTTTGGAATCTGTAAATTGCTTCAAAAAAAGCTCTGATTCTTATTCTCACTTTTGGTCGAAACAAACAGGGAACTTGTTCTGAGTCAGAGCAGTTTGGTATGCTGAGAGGTGTATATACAAATGTTACAAATACTATAAAAAATATTTAAAATATTATTATCTATGCTGACTGTCATTTATGTGATAAGATAGATGCTCTGGAAAGACTTGAAATACATAAAAAAACATCTTCCTGGAAAGGGCTAGTATAAGAATATTATAGGAAATAGCAATAAAAATGTTGACATTTAGACTTGGAAGAGGTGAGGAGATAAAATGATAACCAAAGTCATTAAGATGTAGAGAGCATCTACATGTTTTCTAGTTCCATACTTAGTTTGTTGGATCATTTCAGTTAGTGGCTCATAAACTGTGGCTATTTGAGATGGGTTTCTCATTACAATTAGTTGGGTGACTGAAACTCACTGTAGAGCTTGCCTATAAAAATGGAAGGAGTAATCTTGGGGTGGTTGAGTGTAGGATAAGGAAGTGTACTTTTGTCTTAAATAATCAAGACTTTTCATAGAGAAACACTGGAAGATTTTAGAGACAACATTAAGATAGGTAGAGGCTAATAAGTGATTTTATTACTTTGTCATGAATGGTGTAAGGGATGTTCTTAATTATCTCACTGTCTAATAAACTGACCAGTAAGTGAACACAACACAAAGCAAGTATATAGATTCTCAGATAATTACGTGCATAAAACATACATATACATATACATACACGTCTTACGAATATATGTGTGTAGTAAATAACAGTGGAATTTCCTCCCAGTGAATTCTTGGTTGTTGGAAGACCAATATTTCATCTTAAATCCTGGGCTTCAGGCTGCAGACACACTGTGACCCCAAAGCCCTGTGTCTGTGGCCAGGTTAAGTCAGATAACAAGCAGTCAACAGGGCTGAAATGAGGTAAAGCCTTAACCTTTTAACAGGGATAAGGATGAGTGGAAAGGCTGATCTAAGTCTTGCACTGAGCAAGAAATTGGAAAGTGAACAGGAGATACCGGCAGATAAGCCATCTGATATGTGAAAGAATTCAGTGTGCTGAACATGTCCTTTAGTGTTCTGGTGACTCCTCTCAAGCATGAGGGAAAGGTATTCTTTCCAAGATGATCTAGTGGTGTGCCCAAGCAGGTAGAACACCATGGAGAAGAGTATCCAGTACCTGAGATAATTACCTGGGCTCAAGGTAACCTACAGGGATTCAAATAGAAAACAGTAAATCCAGATGAGATCCATCGTACATAATTAATGAGGCAAAAGTTTGTACACAGCTGCCTGTATCCATTTCTAGGGGAAAAAAACCCAAAACCTGACACCCCCCCACCCAATAAAAACTCCATGTCTGCAGGTTTGTTTTGGTTTTTTTTCAGAAAAGTTCACATTGGTTTTTTTTTATAAGCCTCATTTATGTTTAAGTGTGTGGGCACAGCCTCAGCTTTGTGAATGATGTGTGCAAATGCAGAGACCCACTGTGCAAGTACTTCAGAAGGTAACACCCATTTGTCAACAGACAGTCAAGGGTATATTTTGCCAGAAGGAAAAAGCATGCCAAACACAGTCTTGGTTGGTGGAATTTATTTAAGGGTGAATGAAGCAGAAATCTGGAGTTTCTTTAAATGATAGAATACTGTGTATTTTGAGGTGAAAGATTACTGACAGAACTGGTGTTTCCAAAGGTTATGGACTTGTATCTTTCCTGGACAATGTGGATGTTCAAAAAATAATAGTAACACAGATCAACTTCCATGACAAAAACCTGAAATTGGGGCCAGTGACTAAAAAGCAACAAAACTTGAATTCTTATGTGCATCCCAGATCATAACAAGGGAGAAACAAAGTATGAGCTCAAGACTTTAATTTGGGTAGTTCATAGGAAGAGGATGTTCAAACTGGAGATTAAGCATAGCAAGAGCAGCCATGATAAATGATCAAGAATATTGACTAGAGAAGCCAACAAAAAAACGAAACTCAGGCTTGTGAAGGCAATAATGCAGATATCATGGCCAGGCACCACTGGGAGAGATAGCCTTTGAGAGGAAATTAAAAAGTAGTAGAAAAGTTAATAAAGTAGTTAAAGCTGATAGAGGGAGAAAATCATTGAATGTAAGACAAAGAAAAACAAACCTTAGGGAGGTCTGACAAGAAACAGAGGTAACTTAGCAGCTGACATTTTCTAAATTCCCCATTTAAAAAAAGTTGGTGGTAAAGGTGGCAGGAGTTAGAGATGGCTATAAAAAAGTACATGCCCTTTAGTTTATATGTAGTACACGTCTCTCTTAATCGCTTTTCTCTCTGGTTAGAAGAGGATGATATTCACAGTAGATGTATTTGTGTGTGGTTAAGCATACAGTTCTAACAAAAATGGGGGCCAAAGGAGATGCAAGGTATAGATCCACGAAAGTTAGGGAAGAGTGGACCATGAAGGATACATATCCTTACCAAATGTCCTTTGAAATCTGATAACTCATTGCACATAAGATATAAGTGTTTTATAGTATAATGAATGTATTTTTTGTGTTTACATATGTAGTGTGAAACATTTGCTTGGTATTGTCATTTCTATTTGGCAACAGAACTATAAAGAGAGGGAAATCACTATTAAAGAAAAGAAAGTGTTCCAAACTTATTTACAGTTTAGTAACTGGTAATTTGAAGCCCTCCACAATATGGACTTGATGTGTCAGATCATCATATAATTTATGTAATTATTTATCATTTTCTTAACTGTACATCAGCCCTTTAAGCATTAGGCTAATGGCTGTATTAATAGAGTTTGAAAATAATGTTTTTAGAACAAGAAAGAAAGACATGAATACCTTTTCACTACTGCAACTATTGCTACAGCTGCAAATCCATCTTCAGGTAGGAGGGTATGTGTTCACTTACATAAAAACCATTTCATTTTAGATTTTTGATTTCTTCCTCCACCCTTCCAATATACGAACAAGTGTTAAACAAGTAACATTTACATTTGAAACGAATATTTGCAAACATCAGCTCACAAGCACCCTGTTTTTCAATCCTTTATATGGTTAATTAATTTAGTATTGTTTGTTGTAGTGGGTCTATCTTTGTAACTGCTGAGCAGCTTTAAATCCAGTGGTTAGCACTTCTTCAGAAGTTTGTAGATTATTTAAAAATCACAATAATAATACACTGCATGTAAAGGTCAGAGAATACTTTCCTGTGATGAAAATTATTCAGAGTAATTGCCCTAAATATATCCGGGCAATTAAGTAATTGAAAGCAGAAGCTGTAAGATTGTTGTATCCCTGTAAAACACACTGGTTATAAAACCCAAGAATTCATTTATTGTGTAAAGGTTTCTTACTATCATTTGTGACAGATAGGTGTTACGGATTAGAGCACAGGGACTTAGGGTCTTCTTACATGATGTTTTGACTCATTTGAGCTGGTGTCCCCACAGGCCTCTTCACTGTCTCCTGCATATCCCTACTGCACCTGTTGAGCGGGAACAGAGATTTATCTGACCAGACAGCAGTTTGCAGCCCAGCATAATAGAGTATGGCCCAGCATATTATAGCATGGCCCAGCATATTATAGCATGGCCCAGCATATTATTACACGGCCTAGCTTCATATAGCATGGCCCAGCATATTATACCATGGCCCAGCATATTATTACATGGCCTAGCTTCATATAGCATGGCCCAGCATATTATAGCATGGCCCAGCATAATATCACATGGCCAAGCTTCACTTCACTTTCAGATCTTCTTAAAGGCGTTTGTAGATACTGGCTGCAGTGTTTTGCCTCACGTCCCTGTCTCAAAGGTTAGCATTTTGCCTGTTGTAATCATCCAAGCTCCTATTCCTTCGCCAAAAAAAAAAAAAAAGAAAAAAAAAGAAAAAAAAAAGGAAAAAAAAAAAAAGGGAACCCCCCCCCCAAAAAAAAAAAAAAAAAAAAAAAAAAAACTAAAGAGAAAAGGAACCCCAAGCCCCTCGAGAAGAACTGCATACAAAAGCACTTCGACATCCTTCCGTTGATCTTTCCCACTGAACGGGTAATGACTGGGATAGCGTGTTTTCTTTCCTTTTTTCAAAACTTAGGCTCCCTTTGGAGCCGGGAAAGTGGGTTTGGATAAAGATGTGACACCACCGTTACACCCCATCCCCTCTCCACCCTCACTCCCCTCCCGCTCCGCCCAACTGCGGGCACCGCCCCGCCCCGCCCAGCTGAGGGCAACGACCTCGGCGCCGCCGCGCGCCTGCGCGGCCGCCTCCAATGCAGTTTGAACGCTTCCGAACCAGCCACTCAGGAGGGCGGGCGGTTCCGCGCTGCGCTCCTATTGGCCGCGAGGCCGCGGCCGCGTGGCGAGCGGGCCAATCAGCGCGCGGGGCCGCGGCATGGCGGGGGCGGGTGCAAACGGCCGCGGGGCGGTGGCGCAGGGTTTGAGTCGCGGCGGGAGCGCGGCTGCCGTGAGGGCACCGGGCACCGGCACCCGCACCCGGCCCGAGTCGCTGTCGCCGGGCTCCGGTCGGTGCTTAACAGTGAGTGAGCGGTCGGGTGCGGGGCTGACGGTGTCAGGCAGCCGCTCTGTTTTGTGAGGGCTCTCTCCGCCTGTCGTTGTTCAATAGTTTTAGGTACTCTGAGATACCCCGAGCTCAGCCACGTTGCATTGAAAAGTAAATAAAGAAGCGTTGCTGAGGCGTCCTGCGGAGCCGCGTGTTTTGGCGAGGAGACGCCGCCTGAGGTACAGCTGTCAAATGCAGGTCTCAGAGTAGAAACGCTGTTGCTGCTGGGAGATGCGTTAGAGCGAGGTTCTGCTCTTAAATGCATAGAAGCGTGTCAAAATAGCACCTAATGCTTTAGGGTGCTGCTTGGTGTTTAGGTCAGGAAGCCTGTAAGGTTGTGGAACGCTGTTTTCTAATCGCTGCTAAGCTTACAATATGCGATTTCTTTAAAAGGGACGCTTACTTCACCTTGGAAGGTCTCGTTGTTGTCTTTGTGTTTCAGGCATAATACTATCCATTTTATGTGAAACAAGAATCTAGCCAATATGAGCTGGGCTGTGGAGGAATGGAAAGAAGGCCTCTCCCCCAGAATCCTGCAGAAGATCCAGGAGCTGGAAAGTCAAGTGGATAAGCTCAAAAAGGAGCGTCAGCAAAGGCAATATCAGCTAGAGACTCTGGAGGCAGCGTTGCAGAAACAGAAGCAGAAGGTAACCCAAAATGCAGTTGTTCGTGCCCAAACACTGTTATAGCAGTTAATTTTCTGGTGGCTATTGTTAGCGAATGGGTTAATGTTTTGATTCTTCTCCCTGACTGAAAGGAAAGGTTGCACTGAATTATAAACTGTTTATCTTCATCTTTCTTAATATTCATCATGTCCTTCCCTCTGTTTAATTGTTTTTGGTTGGTAATATGATTCCTGCTTTCTATCTGTCCATTTCTAGTTATTTATGTGCACTTTGAGGTTTTTCTACAGCTCTTTATGATTAGGAAAACATACATTTTATTGTTATACTCATTAAAATCCATGATAACAACTGGGCCTATTTTATATACCAGAGCTGCACAGTTGGCAGCCTCTTCCTATTTCACCTTGCCTACAGATACCTATAATCTTAGTTTATGTTATTCCTTAGTTTATTTCTTTGTAGAGGCTGGGGGTTTACGATTTGGTATTCCTTTTTGGTTTTAGGAGTAATTTTACTTCTAACTCTACCCTGTCAGCCCTGTAACCAGGGGACTAAAGACCTCATTGGTCAGGGTCCTGCCATGCTTCAGGTCAGCAGTGACCCATTTGGTTCAATTTTGTTTTGTATTCTTTGGCTGTAGCTCAGAGACAGTTTACAAAGGTTGCTTGTTACTCCCTTTAGATTGGTACAACCTTCTAGAAAACCTTAAGCCTAGCAGGTTTTTTTTTTAGTTTCTTCCTCTGAGTTTCCAGGAAATTGTTTCAACCATTCGAGTGAACTGCTGTGGTCCCTAAACAAAATGAAGGGGTACTTTAAAACTCATAGAAGTAGCAGGTAATATAATTTTCAGTCAAAAGAACATCACTGTGCCAAAGATGATGCCCCTTGGATGTTACTCCAGGTAGGAGAAGGACATCTTTCCTGCCAGCCTCTATCTTCAAAGCTGTGACATTTGATAATTTTTGTGCACACTTTGTGGAGTGAGCAAAGGCCTTCTGGCTGCTAAAGATAGGCTGGAAAGAGAAGCGAGATGATCAGTGAAGTATGTGGGCTAATGATGATTATTAGTATTTAGGGATTGATGAATAATAAAAAGAAACTGTTAATGTCACCGAGTTGAATTTTGGCAAATGTGGGTTTTGTTTACACCTAAGAATATTTAAACAATGTGTACATCTGAGATTTTAGAGCTGTCAGGACTTTGAAGTGTTAGGAAGAAAATAACAGCATTGTGCTGAACCCACCACAAACATCTGAACTTTACTAAAATAATAAATGCACCTAAGTATAGAGAGGAGTTGATAATTTCAAAAATGTCTCTGTTCCAACTAGGTTGAAAGTGAAAAAAATGAATATGCAATGCTAAAAAGAGAAAACCAGAGCTTGATGGAATTGTGTGATAATCTTGAGAAAACAAAGCAGAAAATTTCACATGATCTTCAAGTAAAAGAATCTCAGGTCAACATTCAGTCAGGTCAGCTGAATTCCTGCAAGAAGGATATTGAAAGGCTAGAACAAGAACTGAAAAGGTGAGGACTTTCTGTAATGTCTCTAACATATTTACAATTGTTATTTCATAATTTTTTCCTCATGCCTCATACATGTCCTAATAGAAGCAAATAAAGAGGAAGCTGTGTTGCTCTTTCAATTATTTTTTCTTTTTTTTCTCTTTGATTTTTGTGAAAACTAAAGTGCGTTGAGGTATTTGACTGCTGTGATAAATAATGCAGCATAATTTATGGCATATAGAAACACCAGCTTTGTGTAAAGAGTTGCTAAAATCCATCAGTGAAGAATCTAGTGAGTTTCAACAGGGTTGATAGAACCTCACTAATGTTCTCTGTATCTGCTGTCAACTGTTGGGACAAAGAGGTTGTGAGCTGAGGATATGTGTTCCATTTATCTATTCCCAAAATTAAGTTGGTTTGCCGAGTTCCTCCTTCCCATTATATTATTTTATGTAACTGTTCATTAAAAAATATCCGTTACTGCATGTACCGCATTCTTGGCCATTGTTTGTGATTTTATATTTGTCTGCTTTTTATTTGGTACATGACCATTTGCCACTTCATCCCAACTAATGGTCCTCTGGGAGAGGAGTTCTTGGCACTGAGCTGTAAAAGAGAGGGAAAATAAAAAAGGCAAATGTGAAGTCACTGGCAGTGAGCTACAGCTTGGGACTATCATCTTATCAACCTGTGCTCACTGAGCAGGGCAAAAGTTACTGTGTGGCCTCTGAACTAGTTATGTGGTTTCATTGGATGCCCTGGTATCTTCAGCCTAAGTAAAGTCCCTCAAATGGGTTGTCTGCTGTGGTGTTTTGGGTAGTGCTGTAAATGGAACACATGAGAAATACACTGAGTAGAGATTATTCACTCGTGTTTTCATGAAGTATGCATAGTTTTCTGAAAGTGTGCAGTATCAGAACATAAAGATGCTCACTGAAGAGTAAGAGTTTAATATTCTCAGTGCTTACAGTGATTTGTGTATGTTTAGCTGAACTGCAGCTTGATAGTGTAAGACTTCAAGGAGTTCTCACAGATGCTTCTACTTAGGGCTTGATTTTGTTTTTTAGCTCTGACTCCTGTGTAATTGATTACCTATGTTGAAACTCTAAATAAAATGTCATTTGTATTTTTGTTATACCCCCTCAAAATTTTCAGTGGATATGGCTTGACTCGATCTTTAAACTAAGTCCTTAGAGTCATGTAATTTGTTAGTGTATGTTAGGCTAAAAATAGCTAATTATCTTTTTAGTTTCCATTATTAATTTATGCTGCTGCTTCTTTCCTAAACAGATGCAAATGTGAGCTTGAGAGAAGTCAGCAAACATTGACTGCAGATGTATCATTCAGTGCCACTCCACAGAAAAGTTTTACTGCTCCTTTAACACCAGTTCAAAGTAAGAATGGTAAATAATCCTTTTCTTCATCCAGCACAACAGTTGACTGTCAGTTTTCTTGGAGGGTTGAATATTTTAAACATTACACTTGTATTGAGTTGCCTAGCCCCTCTAATATAAGATATTATGAAAGTATCTAATTTGTAGCACCCTAGGTTTCAATTTTAAAAATTATTAGTGCAGATTGAACAGATCACAAATATTACATCTTTTCAATGCTACATTGATGGACATGGAATAGTGATAAAATATCCTGCAGTAGATTGCAGCAATCTTTTGAAGGCCTGTTCCTGGTGTCAGCTTTCCTCTTCATGTTGTGGGGAGCAAATTTCTCCCTGTGCCACAGGTACTTTAACTAAAATGCAGTCAACAGTTAAATGTGTTATTTATTTGGAAAGTTACTTTTTGCACAGACTGTTACTGTGCATGATAATCTATACAACTAATGCTCTGTATCCATTTCAAAGCATCACTTCTATCTTCAAATTAGTGATATCAAAAATTTTTAAAATATTTGAATGAACTGGATAAACGACAGGAAGCTTCCTTAAGTGGAGAACACTCTGGCCAGACATCCTTATGCTGAAAAATTTAGTGTTCAACATTATACATGTTATTTACCTCTTTCAGTGCTATGAACAAATGTTCTGTGAGTTTGGCATCTCAGTCTTACTCCAGGGGGAAATCTGACATAATCTCTTCCTCTTGTACCTTTTACTTTCTTTATCTGTATCTGAAAAGGCTTGCTGTTAGTGGCAATGTCAAGCATTCTGCTAAGCATGACACTCCT